GTAAGGACGACGGGCGGGGGATGGAGAAGCAGCCAGGGCAGAAACAGAGAGATACAGATAGAGGGGGAGAGAGAGAGAGACATAGAGAGATACAGAGAGAGAGGGAGGGAGGGGAGAGGGGGAGGGAGGGAGGGGAGAGAGAGAGAGATGTCAAAAGAATTTCATGGCTCCCAGTGTTTTTTAACAACTGGTTCTCTGCCCTAATGACCGGCTGGGTAGGCGTGGCTAGGGTGGGATCATGTGACTGGTGGAAGTGAGTGATGTCGAGTTGGCCACGCCCACCCATGTTTTGTGGCTCCCGGTGTTTTCTTTTCTGTGGGTTATCCAATCTCTTCTTAAAAACTTCCAGTGTTGGGGCATTCATAACTTCTGGAGGCAAGTAGTTCCACTGATTAATTGTTCTGTCAGGAAATTCCTCCTTAGTTCTAAGTTGCTTCTCTCCTTGATTAGTTTCCATCCGTTGCTTCTTCTCCTGCCTTCCGGTGCTTTGGAGAATAGCTTGACTCCCTCTTCTTTGGGGCAGCCCCTGAGATACTGGAATATACTGCTATCATGTCTCCCCTAGTCCTTCTTTTCATTAAACGAGACATCCCCAGTTCCTGCAACCGTTCTTTGTATGCTTTATCCTCCAGTCCCCTAATCATCTTTGTTGCTCTTCTCCACATTCTTTCCAGAGTGGAGATGGAGGCAACTTCTGGTATCACCCAATCCTTTCAGGATACCGATGCATTTCGTTGTGTGAGTCAGACAATTGATGATGAGGGGACTGGAGGCTAAAACATACGATGAACGGTTGCAGGAACTGGGCCTGGCTAGTCTAGTGAAGAGAAGGACCAGGGGAGACAGGATAGCAGAGATCCAATATTGGAGGGGCTGCCAAAGAAAGGAGGGGGGTCAAGCTACTCTCCAAAGCACCCGAAGGCCAGACAAGGAACAATGGATGGAAACTGACCAAGGAGAGATTCAACCTGGAAATAAGGAGAAATTTTCTGACAATGAGAACAATCAACCCATGGAACAGAAGTTGCCTTCGGAAGTTGTGGGAGCTTCATCCCTGGAGGCTTTCAAGAAGAGACTGGACTGCCCTCTGTCAGAAATGGTGTAGGGTCTCTTGCTTGGGGGGGGGGTTGGACTAGATGACCTCCAAGGTCCCTTCCAACTCCGCTAATCTGTAAAAAAAATATTTATAGACGGGCACCGAATCCATCAGAAAATGTGGCTTCACGGAGGGAGACTTGAGGCTTCATCATCCCCTCGCTATTTTCCGACTGCCACATTTTCCAAATCAAGTTACAGCTTCCCAGATTTGAACCTCTAAGAAACCTTCATTTTTTCAGCCCATTGGTTGGCTGGGAACGATCTGCACGTTTTCGTGCAACTTCATTCAGAAAAACAAAACAAAAGAAAAAAAAGTTCAAAGTCCTTCCTCCTTTGGGAAGAGGGGAAGCTCCCCTCGCCTTTAATTTCAGAACCACATCCAAAACTTTGGGGGAGAGATCTGTTATTTTTGCTGGTGATTATTTACCTCTCATTTTTCATGTTTTCCCGGGATGAAAAAACGAGCAAGCATCTAATACTTAGCTGGCCTGCTGTAAAAACCAGCATCCAGAGCCAAATTCAATTAAAAAAGATTTCGGCAGGCTCCTGTGGGGTTTTTTTTTTTTTTTTTGCGGCAATTTGTGTTGCCGCAACAACCTTGTGCTGTGTTGAGCTGGGCCCTTGATTGAGCTGAAAAACGTTTCTAAGCCCTTCTAAAGTTATTGGGTTGCTGTATTCGCTATTAAAAATTCTCCGCAAACCTGGCTTGATGTTAATAAAACTTTTGACCCCAAAGTTTAAACCTTCACTTTTGACCCCCTTCTGCTCTTAATTAATAAAATATTCCTCCCTCCCTGGTATTTTCTACACAGGAGGAAGGAAAGGTTTCCTAGGGAGTATAGGTAATCCTCGACTTACGACCACAATTGAGCCCAAAACCTATGTTGCTAAGCGAAACTTTTGTTAAGCGAGTTTTTCCCCAGTTTACAATTTTTCTTGCCACTGTTGTTAAGTGAATCACTGCAGTTGTTCAGTTAGTAATACGGTTGTTAAGTGAATCTGGCTCCCCCGCTGACTTTGCTTGTCAGGAGGATGCAGAAACAGATCATGTGACCCCGGGATATGGCATCCGCCATAAATATGAGTCAGTTGCCAAGCGTCTGAATTTTGATCACCTGATTATTGGGATGCTGCAACGGTCGTAAGTGTGGAAAACGGTTGTAAGTCCCTTTTTCAGTGCTGTTGTAACAATGAACGGTCACTAAATGAACCGTTGTAAGTGGCAGACTCCCTGTATCAGTGCTGTATTCCTGCAACACCATTCTGACTTTTGACATTTCAGCAGCCGTTGGCTCCGTATCTTCAAGGATAACTTTTGCGAGAATTCTTAACATCCTTTTCATATACAGGTAGTCCTCCACTTACAACCATTCCTTTAGTGACCATTGATAGTTACAGCGGCACTGAACAAAGTGACTTATGACTGGCTTTCATACTGACGACCGTTGCAACCCCATGGTAACGTGATCAAAATTCCGATGCTTGGCAATTGATTCATATTCATGACGGTTGCAGCATCCCGGGGTCTGTTGTGGCCCATTAGCGGCCTGTGCATCTAGTAGCTGATTCCGACAGCGAGGAGGCTGGTGTGGTGCTGTGCCAGCAGCCTGTGCAGCTGGCGCTCGAGTCAGACAGTGAGGAGGCTGGAGAAGATGTGGTGCCAGAGGCAGGGATTCAGCCAGGGCCTTCAGAACCTCCAGAAGCTTCCATGGGTGAAGAGGAAGAAGAGGAGGAGCCTCTTCTCGATGCACGGGCGCGCAGAGCTGCCAAAAGGCAGGAGTGGCTCCTCAGGAGGAGGTCTCCTCGAGAGTAAGGCTTGGGGCTCATTGGCCACTCCTTTAGCCTATTTAAGGAGGAACACCGACTGAAGCAATTTGCAGGGAACAACTTCATTCACTCTCCTTCGCGTCCTGATCTTATCTGTCTCTTATCAGTTTCCTGCAAATTGCTTCTGGGCTTTCTGCCAACCATAGTAAGATTACGATTATTTCTTCTTGGGATTCTTGTAGGCTGTTAAGAAAGTTAATTAACAGCCTTTGTTTGAAAAAAAAAACTGATTTAATTTAGTAAACTAAGGTTTGTACAGGCTTCGTGTGTGCTGCGTTCTTTGGGGTCGGTAGCTGGGGCAGAACAGGGTCACCCGATCCCCTTTTGCAAAGTCACCAGGGAAGCCAGATCCACTTAACGACCGTCATACTAACTTAACAACTTGCAGCGATTCACTTAACAACTGTGGCAAGAAAGGTCGTAAAATGGAGCAAAGGTCACTTTACAGCTGTCTGGCTGAACGATAGAAATTTGGGGCACGATTTGTGGTCGTCCCCCACATGATCAAAATTCAAGAGCTTGGCCATCAGCAGGTATTTAAAGTTTGCAACCTTCAAAGCAGCTTTCAACAAGCAGAGCCCATGGGGGAAGCCGGATTCTCTTCACGGCGGCGTGATTCGTTTAACAACTGCAGTGATTCGCCGAGCAAACGTGGCACAAAAAAAGGATCATAAAATTTGGCATGGCTCATTTAAGAACTCCTTGCTTAGGAACAGAAAATCTGTTTCCCGATTGTGGTTGTAAGTCGAGGACTACTCGTAACCTGCACAAACTTTTTTGTGAGAAGCAGGCTAGCGAGGGAGGGGACGCACTGATGTGGAGTGGATTCTAGCATTGATGATGTTATCTAGTTGGGTCATGAAACGTCTGCAAGAAAACAACCAAGCTCAGGGAGCCCCAAGGACTCCACAGGCTTCCTCTTCCTCCTCCCTTTCCTTCTCTTCCTCCTCTTCCTCTTCCTCCCCCCTCCTTTTCCTTTTCCTCCTTCCCATCTTCTCCTTCTCTTCCAATTCACAACCCCCCTCCCTTCTAGCACTGATGTTATCTAGTTGGGTATTCAAACGTCTGCAAGAAAATAACCAAGCTAAGGGTGCACCAAGGACCCTTCAGTCCTCCTCCTCCCTCCCTCCCTCCCTCCCTCCCTCCCTCCCTTCTAGCACTGATGATGTTATTTAGTTGGGTAATGAAACGTCTGCAAGAAAATCACCAAGCTCAGAGAGCATCAAGGACCTTTCAGTCCTCCTCCTCCCCTTTCCCCCTCCTCTCCCACTTCAACAAACCCCCTCCCTTCTAGCACTGAAGTTCCCTAATTGAGTAATGAAACGTCTGCAACCCCCCACTCCCCCCAAAAAACCTCCAACCAAACTCAGAGAGCTCCCAGGACCACTCATTTCAGGGGTGAAATCCAGCAGATTCTAACAGGTTCTGGAGAACTGGTAGCGGAAATTTTGAGTAGTTTGGAGAACTAGCAAATACCACCTCTGTTTGGCCCCAGAGCGGGATGGGAATGGAGATTTTGCAATATCCTTCCCCTGGAGTGGGGAGGGGATGGGGATTTTGCAGTATCCTTCCCCTGCCACACCCACCAAGCCACGCCCACAGAACCGGTAGGGAAAAATTTTGGATTTCACCCCTGCCTCATTTCAACCATGAGCTACAAATATTCCGTGTCAGCATTCTGATGCTGCCATAAAAAGGAGGAGACGAGGCTTGACTTTTCACCTACTTATTTTCTCTGTAGATAATATCCCCTAGGAGATGGGATGGGAGGGAGACATTCCTGTGGGCTGAGGTCAGAAGCTGGGGAGACTAACTTGGAAGATGGCCAATGAGAAGATGAGAACTGGGGAACGGAAAGGGAAGTGATTGGGGGTCAGAGGGTTAGTATCGGCTACGACGAAGTCGGGGCCAGATCTGTTGTACTCAATAAATGGATTTTTTCAGCAAAGATTAATCGTTTGGGAGTGCAATTTATTTGAGATGACATCGAAACCTGACATTCCGCTTGATCGATTCGCCTTCATATTTTATACCCGCCCCACGTGACATCCTCTCGCCCCTGTTCCCCTTTCCAGGTGCAAGACATCGCGTTCAGCCACGACTGCCGGTGGGTGGCGGTTAGCACCCTCCGAGGCACCACCCACGTCTTCCCCATCAACCCCTACGGAGGGCAGCCCTGCGTACGGACGCACCTCTCACCTCGGGTCGTAAACCGCATGAGCCGCTTCCAGAAGAGCGCGGGGCTGGAGGAGATCGAACAAGAGCTGACCACCAAACAAGGAGGGCGCTGCAGTCCCGTGCCGGGCCTTTCCAGCAGCCCATCTGGCTCCCCTCTCCATGGTAAGCCTCCCTTTCAAAAACAGATGCGGAAGAATCATTGTTGGTTTGTTGGTTTGTTTACATTTATGATGGAGTCCCTCTCCTATAGATTGCCTCCAGAGGTTGTGAATACTCCAACACTGGATGTTTTTAAGAGGATGTTGGATAACCGTTTGTCTGAAGTGGTGTAGGGTTTCCTGCCTAAGCAGGGGGTTGGACTAGAAGACCTCCAAGGTCCCTTCCAACTTCATTATTCTCTTCTATTCTGGGCGGCTTAGCCAATGCAAACACAAAACAATGACAATGACACAAAACGAAAACATACTACCCCAAAGATAACCAGGATTAAAACAATCAAGACCCTTGGTGGCGCAGCAGACTAAAGTGCTGTTAAGTAGCATCAGCTGCCTGCAATTACTGCAAGTTCAAATCTCACCAGGCTCAAGGTTGACTCAGCCTTCCATCCTTCCGAGGTAGGTAAAATGAGGACCCGGATTGTGGGGGCAATAAGCTGACTTTGTATAAAAAAGAACACCGCTTTGGGGGGGGGGGCAAAAGCCCTTCTAAGCAGGTATATACAAAAGTATGAAGGCTATTGCTTAACGCATTGTAAGCCACCCTAAGTCTCCGGAAAAGGGCGGCATAATCAATCAATCAATCAATCAATCAAGGATCCACACATCAACCAAGACCGGAGACCAAAATTATGTCTTAAATACAGGTAGTACTTAAGTACAGATAATGCATGCATACACATTTTGCGTGTCAATGCTACGTGTCAATATCAATCAGAATAGAGTTGGAAGGGACCTTGGAAGTCTTCTAGTCCAACCCCCTACTCAAGCAGGAGACCCTAGACCATTTCAGACAAATGGTTATCCAACATCATCTTAAAAACTTCCAGTGATGAAGCACCCACGACTTCTGGTGGCAAGCTGTTCCATTGGTTAATTGCCCTTACTGTTAGGAAATGAATTCCAGGTTGCTTCTCTCCTTGATCAGTTTCCATTCATTGTTTCTTCTCCTGCCTTCAGGTGCTTTGAAAAATAAGTTGACCCCCTCTTCTTCTTTTTGGCAGTCCCTTAAATACTGGAATACTGCTATCATGTATATTTATACAAAGTCAGCTTATTGCCCCCACAAACTGGGTGCTCAATTTACCTACCTTAGAAAGGATGGAAGGCTGAGTCAACCTTGAGCCTGGCGAGATTCGATCTTACTTTAATTGCAGACAGCTGGTGTTAAATTACAGTGCTTCTGTCTGTTGAGCTAAACTTGTAGGCTTCTTGCTCTGTCCTCCAATCCTATTCCGCCCACTGCCAGGAGTTCGATCCTGACTGGCTCAAGGTTGACTCTGCCTTCCATCCTTCCGAGGTGGATCAAATGAGGACCCAGATTGTTGGGGGCAACATGCTGACTCTGTAAACCGCTTAGAGAGGGCTGTAAAAGCACTGTGAAGCGGTATATAAGTCTAAGTGCTATTGCTATTTGTTATACCCTCCCTAGTAAACAAATTTAGAAATCAAGAGCAAAGAGTTGACTTGTTTGTTTGTTTGTTTGTTTGTTTGTTTGTTTGTTTATAAAACTTTTGTGCCACCCGTCTCGCTGATACAGCAACTCTGGAGGGCTGATAATATAATAAGAAATAATAATAAAAACAATCTGCTAGTAAAAAAGTTAAAATTAGAAAAATTGAATAAAAAAGCTAATAGAAGTGAATGAAGAATCTCGGGTTCTTGTGTCCGACGTAGATCGAAGTTAGCTTCGGAAACGTAGATGTTCTTAATAGATGCCATTAAACATTAATTGCCCATCCATAAAACAGATATCGAGAGCCTGCTTTTAGGTTTTATTTTATCGGCCGCTTTGTTAGCATGTTTGAGGTGGTTACCTCATAGCCCTATTGCTTGCCAGTCAGAGATGGATGTTTAAGCGACTTCCTGTAAATAAAGGTGGCCAATTTTGCAAGGAGGCCTGAAAGACAAATTCAAAGAAAAGACGAACGCAAAGGACCGGTTGGATCCATTCAGACGTTCTTATCGTTATTCCTGGGCTGCTTTCAAAATAGTGTGATTGAACAATGGGACTATTTCTGAATAGCTTTGGTTGAATGCAGCCACTTGCTCGAGAATTATCATTCCACTCCAAGTACCGTAAGCCAAGGTTATATATAAATTGCACAAAGATACAGGATTTCCCATTTATATACTTTTATTCTGTCTTTTGCTATTTGTGGAGAAGGATAACAATAGCTACAGGGATTCTTCTCCTACCCATAGAATAGATACATATTCCGTTATTTAACTTTTACTGTTTTTTCCTCCACTTCCTCTCCTTTTCAAATATTGGGCTGCTAACGCAAGGACCTGCTGTTTGTCCTAAATGTGCCGTGTATATTATTAATAAAATAAAATAAAAATAGATTCTGGTTGGTTAAACAAAATGGTTAGCTTGCAAAACTTGTGGGGTTTTTTTTGTTTTGGCATAAGTGTCTATGGAGATTCTCCGTCATCTAGATCATGGTTGTCTCAAAGATGCTTTTTTTTTTCCCAAGAGGCAACTGGACTTTCTGGTTTTTCTATGAAAGACATTTCGCTTCTCATCCAAGAAGCTTCTTCAGCTCTGACTGGATGGTGGCATCTTTGAAATGCTCTGGCATAAGCTTTGTGGACTAGAATCCATACAGCAGATGTATGAAATGGCATTTTCATTAGGGAAAAGAGAGAGAGAGAGAAAGAGAGAGAGTAGCAGGCAGACAGGAAGGAAGGAAGGAAGGAAGGAAGGAAGGAAGGAAGGAAGGAGAGAGAGAAAGCGTGTGAGAGAAAAAGAGATAAGAAGAAAGAAATAGGGAAAGAATCAGGGACGTGGGAAGGAGCAGACAGAAAGAGAGAGACAGAGAGGAAAAGTACTCTTAACAATGATGAAGATTGTTTTCATTCATTTCTGGTGCCAAGAACAAAATTTACTTCATTCAGCTTAACTTCATTCCATGAGTCTAATCACCTTGTTGAGCTATTTGTAACTGACATCCAGTTACAAATCCAGAGGCGCTCCCACGTGACACCTCTCCTGCGCGAGCTGCACTGGCTCCCGGTGGTCTTCCGGGTGCGCTTCAAGGTGTTGGTGACCACCTTTAAAGCGCTCCATGGCTTAGGGCCGGGGTACTTACGAGACCGCCTTCTGCCACCAATAGCCTCCCACCGGCCAGTACGCTCACACAGAGTGGGCCTCCTCAGGGTGCCGTCCGCCAGACAATGTCAGCGGGCGACCCCCAGGGGGAGAGCCTTCTCTGTGGTGGCGCCCACCCTCTGGAACAACCTCCCCCCAGAGTAACGTACAATAACAGACCTCCGGATTTTTCGTCGGGCCCTGAAAACCTATTTATTTCAACTAGCTGGGCTGGCTTGAGTCAAATTTTAAACTGATTTTAAATTGGAATTGTTTTAATTACGGCCAAAATATTTAATTATTTTAATCAGTTTTTAGATTTTGTATGTTTTGTATGTATGTCTTGTTTTTACTTTGGCTGTTCACCGCCCTGAGTCCTATATTGGAGAAGGGCGGTATAGAAATTTAAACAAACAAACAAATAAATAAATAAAGTTTGCGAGTGAAAAGGTAAAGGTTCCCCTTGCACATATGTGCTAGTCGTTCCTGACTCTAGGGGGCGGTTCTCATCTCCGTTTCATAGCTGAAGAGCCAGCACTGTCCAAAGACGTCTCCGTGGTCATGTGGCCGGCATGACTCAACGCCAAAGGCGCACAGAACACTGTTCCCTTCCCACCAAAGGTGGTCCCTATTTTTTCTACTTGCAATTTTTACCTGCTTCCGAACTGCTAGGTTGGCAGAAGCTGGGACAAGGAACGGGAGCGCACCCCGTTACGCAGCACTAGGGATTCGAACCACTGAACTGCCGACCTTTCGATCGACAAGCTCAGCATCTTAGCTACTGAGCCACCACATCCCTTTTGTGGATGATAAATCCTGATAAAACGTGAACGTTCTCCTTCAGGTTAGATTTGAATGCCAAGTAACCTCACGGCCACCTCCATATAGTTTTACATCCCCAGTGCTTAAGCGGTTTTCCATTTTCCTTCTTCTAGTGTGTCTGTTGCTTTCCAGTCTAGCTGAAAGCTCTTGGTTGCTTCTCACCCAAGAATTAACCAAACCTGAAATGTTTTTGCTTCCAAAATCAGTGAAGTCACCTTGGAGGCTGCTGCTTCAATGGGCTGGACCTCAAGATTCACTGTGAGAAAAACAGACCTCCCAAACCTATTTGTTCCTTAGATGGCCTCCTTTTTGGTGTCTAAAAAAAACATTTGCATCCTCAAAACCTGTTAAAAGTATCAGCCGTGGAGGCTTCTTCTTCTTCTTCTTCTTCTTCTTCTTCTTCTTCTTCTTCTTCTTTCTTCTTCTCTTCTTCTTCTTCTCTTCTTCTTCTTCTTCTTCTTCTTCTTCTTTCTTCTTCTTCTTCTTCTTCTTCTTCTCCTCTCCTTCTCCTTCTCCTTCTTCTTCTTCTCCTCCATCTCCTTCTCCTTCTCCTTCTTCCCTTTTCTTCTTCTTCTCCTTCTCTCTTCTCCTCCTCCTCCCCTCCCCCCAGCCCTTTCCCCTCCCCCTCCCCTTTCCCCTTTCCCCTTCTTCTTCTTCTTCATCTTCCTTCTTCTCTTCTTCTTCTTCTTCACTTTCTTCTTCTCTTCTTCTTCTCCTTCTCCTTCTCCTTCTCCTTCTCCTTCCTCTCACTCATCTCCTTCTCCTTCTCCTCCCCTTTTCTTCTTCTTCCCTTCTCCTTCTCCTCCTCCTCCCCCCCTCCCCTGCCCTTTCCCCTCCCCCTCCCCTTTCCCCTTTCCCCTTCTCTTCTTCTTCTTCTTCTTCTTTCTTCTTCTTCTTTCTCTTCTTCTTCTTCCTTCATCTTCTTCTCTTCTTCTTCTCCTTCTCCTTCTCCTTCTCCTTCTCCTTCTCCTTCTCCTTCTCCTTCTTCTCCTTCTCTTCTCCATCTCCTCCATCTCCTTCTCCTTCACCTT